CTAACCTATGACTTTTTTATCATATTATAGACGACATACTAACCTATGACTTTTTTATCATATTTCGGACGACATACTAACCTATGACTTTTTTTATCATATTATAGACGACATACTAACCTATGACTTTTTTATCATATTTCGGACGACATGCTAACCTATGACTTTTTTATCATATTTTCAACGACATGCTAACCTATGACTTTTTTATCATATTTCGGACGACATGCTAACCTATGACCCCAGGTTCCTCTTCAGCACTGTAGCCAGGCTGACAGAAAGTCACACCTCTTCTGACCCATCTATTCCTCTAGATCTGAGAAGCAATGACTTCATGAGCTTCTTCGCTAATACAATTACAACCTTTAGGGATAAAATCCACCACCTCCTCCCAGTGAATAACACTGAGACATTGTCTGGTCCTGAAACCATAGCAGCAGATTTATGTCTAAACAAATTTTACTCTATTGATCTTCCTGAACTGACCTCGTTAGTTTCATCATCTAAACCAACTACTTGTCAGCTGGACTCTGTTCCAACTAGACTTTTTAAAGAAGTCCTCCCTCTAATTGACAGTTCCATTTTAAATCAGATTAATATGTCTTTGCTAACCGGCTACGTACCACACACACACACACACACACACACACACACACACACACACACACATATATTGTAATATAATATACAGCCATATTGTGCCAGTGTTGTCTTCCACTGTGTTGATTGTGAAGCTGCAGTTACCTGTGGTGGATCCGAACAGAGACCAGCTCCAGGTGTTAAACTACAAACAGTTTGAAACTGATCCCAGAAACGTGTTGAATTCACCGAGCAGCAGATTATAACTTCTCTTCTTCGTTTCCTGAATCTTTTCCTGAATCTTTTCCTGAATCTTTTCCTCTCAGCTTGAATTTAGAGACAAAACTAATCAAAACAAACCATTCCGCTCTACGCGTCTCACACACACGACTTCCTCTTCCGGGTTGGTTCAGTCACGTGACGCCATACTGCTACCTGGTCTACACCTGAGTGAGGTCACAGATCACAGCGACACCTGGTGTCCACTCCGAGAACAGCACTCTCCGCCGTGGTTCAATGATTTGCAATGATTTTCGAAACTTGCAGAGTTCGTGTGTTTGTATGTATTTGTACGTGTTTGTATGTATTTGTACGTGTTGGGACTTTCTGCAGCAAACGTGTCTCAAGTTGATGAAGTTCTTTTCTTAAATTGTGTTTTTCTTCTCTTCACCTCGAGCTCTCTGGGCCACCGCAGGTTACAGGTGTGTTAAAAGAGATATAGAAGAAAAAACATACTCGATTAGTTCTTAAAGTAAAACGTGAAATCTTTCTGGTAGTTTTTTGTTTAATCAAGCTGGAAAATAAACCCACAAACCAACAACAATAAAATCCTGTGCTGTGTTTAACTGCTGGTTAAACTGGTCACTGAGTCTGTGGGAAGAATTAACTCCAGAAACAAAAGGATGAAGTGATGTCAGTTCAACAAGGCGTCATTCTTCTGTCTCTGTGTCTCAGTCAGGGCAAGACGAGGACAGGCGAAGGGACAGCGGTGGTTCGGGACCCGAGAGAAGCAGCCAAGCTCGGAGTCAGCTTCTCGTACTGTGAGAACTTTTCTTCTTCCTCCTCTTTGTTTTCCTCTTCACCTCTGGAGGAGTCAAGAGACAAACAGACGGGATGATACACATGCCTCATGAATGACGATGACACAGCAGCACAACGTCAGGGACAATGAGCTCGTCTGTCTGAGTCTGCGGAAGCTTCACATCAGTTCTCGTCCTCGTAGATCTCACTTCACGCTTGTGTCCTTCGACTCAAATCTCACTGGATGTAGATTTTAAGATTTAAACGATGACGAGTTTTGATGCTGAAATAACATCTGTACACAAACATCTGCAGCTTTGTGAACATCACTTTGCCCAAACTGCACAAAACAAATTCATCCATCATTCATCGTATTTGACCATTTATTGGAGAATGAACAGGACCTTTTATACGATTCTCTTCCAACTTTTAATTTGAAATGAGTTCTGATGAACACATTTTGTTTTTTAATTCATGATTCTCACCCTCATCTTCTTTCTCTCTGTGACCTTTGCCCCCAGTCACTCCCTACAGCCCATACTGGGTTCTGAGCACTGACTACACCAATTTCACCATCGTGTACTCGTGCAATGACGTCCTCCGCCTGTTCCACATCGACTTCGCCTGGATCCTCAGCCGCTCTCGCTTCATGCCTCAGGAGAAGGTGCAGCAGGCCAAACACCTGATGATCAGCGAAGGGATCGACCTGTCCAGGATGAAGGCCACAGATCAGACGGGCTGCAAAGACGACTGATGGAGACTTTACATCAAATAAAAGTCATCTGCAGTGTTTATGTGTTTAAAATATATTTTTATATTTTAATTCTGTCTTAGCTGCTCGGGACTTTAAAGATGAAACTGATTTAGTAAAACTCACATTAACCCCTCGGCCTGTTTCTCATGGTTTTGTTTTACTTGGCGATGTTCTCACACTGAATCTATGAATATATTGTTTTTCATACTCCAGAAGTGAATCTTATATCATTCACAACAATGTTTTCTTTTTGGAATCAAACAATGAAATAATCTTTATCTGTGTAATAAAGATTTATTCCTTCAGCTGTTGTTGACTCTCACGGTCTTTCTTTACAAATACGTTCAACATTCAGGTGATTTTCCTCAGAAGCGAAGATGAAAATACATAAATTATAAAACCTTCGACAACAGGAATACTTTTCATTATGAAGTAACCTGCAAATCCAGGGATATTCAGTTTATTATCATTAATCTTTGATAATATCCTTATCAAAAAATTATATATATCTATATATATCCAAACCCCTTTACTAAATAATAATATTTATTTGTATAGCACTTGTCTTAACAAATCTGTTTTTATCTACGAATCATTTGAATTAAAAAGTCTTAAAGTCTCAGCTGACCAGTCCAATCCTCCTGAAACTGTGTTTATCTGTGATTCCTGCTGAATAAACCACCAATACTGTAAATACATGAAGTACACACGTTCATATGGCTCCTACAGCCGTTAACAAAGTGACGTTAAAACCCTTCACATACGTGAACATCACACAGTTAAAGATGTGTGTCCTGACAAACCAAGTCTTGTAATGTGACACTAAAAATGTGTGTGTGTGTGTGTGTGTGTGTGTGTGTGTGTGTGTGTGTGTGTGTGTCTTCCTCTGCTGAACCCCCCAACCCCTCCACACACACACCACAGACCACAGTGGACCAGTGGATGATCGGCAGCACCTCTCTGCACGGCTTCACAAACCAGTTACAGGTAAAACATCTGCACAATTTCATTTTTAACATGGAAACCTGAAAACTGTCTACAAGACGCTGCCGCTGGTATTTTTTTTTTCGCCATTTGAGTTTATTGATTTGAATTTAAGACAAAATAAAACTGAGCATGATGGACTTTTTCGTTACAGGAGGTAAAGATGAAGCTGTCGGTCTGGATCAGTCTTCTCCTCTGCCTCTTTATCTGTTATTTCACAGGTGAGCTGCGTCTTTGTGTCAAACTCTCCTTCTAATGATGACTGTATGATATTAGAAGATACTCATATGGATGCAACTACAGTTTATTTTTATATCTAGACACAGATATAGAAGTAACAGGTTAACGAGGTTAAGACATTAGACCAAGGTTGATAAATGTACGTACAGATGTTTTTTTAAATCGTGTGTGATTCTCCCAGATGTGACAGTGCTGCATTTGTTTTGAGTGACTGCGTGTGTACAAAGAGGAGTCTGTGTGTGTCTGTGTGTGTCTGTGTGTGTGTTTGTGTAATAATATTTGAGGAGGGATCCTGTGCTCCACTGGGAGAAAGCTCAGTTTTCCGTTTTGCGGACCTGAATCCTGTCTTTGTGACTGAAAATCCCTGGAATGCTCGGGAATGTTTATTTTCCTCTCTCTCTCTTTCTCTCTCCTCTTCTCCACAGATGCCAGAGTCATCCCCGAAGGAGGTAACTCTACACAAATAACATATATTTCTTTAAATACATGTCATATTTCACTAAGAAAACCAAAAATATTTGATATACTATAGATATTTACATTATTTATTTTCAGCCATTTATTCGCTCAGTCAGTCTCAAACAGACGGTCCAAAATTTCTGCTAAATATATTTTAGTTAAAAACTAAACTTTACTGGATATATAAAGTAGAATGCACCAAAATAAAAGTTGGAAGTATGTGTGCGGTGGACTCTGCTGTCTCTGAGCTCTCACTCCTGCTGTCTCTGGTAAACACAGAATCTATCAGTAGTCCAAAAGGCACAGAAATCAAACCTTCGCTCGATGCAACATTCCTCACCCTCATGTTGCTCCAGCTGTCTGCGGTTCTCTACCTGGTCTCAGGATTCTTCACTCAACTGAAAGGACTGTTATCTGAGACAGAAGCTCAGTCATCAGTTCTTATCCTGCAGGTTCTATCAGAGGCCTTTGACACAGTGAACCACCGTATCTCGTCTGATACGAGCCTCTCCTGCGTGTTTGGTTAGACTTCGTATCTAAACGGGCTGATGCTCCTTCACTCCTTTTAAATAAAGATTTTACTGCAGCTCAAACTAATTTTTTAACTAAATAGCAGCTTATGTATTTCAAGTATCGTGTCCGAACATTTACTAACAGTCTGCTCAACAACAGACGTCAGTCCAGGGCAGAGTGAGTGGTGCGTCAGTATCCTGTACATGTGCAGGTGTGGTTCACATTCCCCTGAGAAGTAAAACTTGTTCTTCATCTCTTTTCATCTTCAGACAAAGTATTTTCTTCTTTGTGTGAAGGTTGTGACCTTCAGGGGAAATTACAAAAGACCGACGGAACCCGAGCAGCATTAGAGAAGCTAAATATCAACATTAAATAACTGGAGGATTGTGATTACAGGTTATATAACAGTGAGTGCGCTTGTGTTTGTTGTATAGTGCCGTACGACGAAGCACCAGCTGTTCCCTACTGGCCCTACTCCACCTCCGACTTCTGGAACTACATTGAATACTTCAAATCGATCGGTGCCTACAACCACATCAACGAAATGGCCCGGGCCTTCTACGCCCACCAGCCCCTCGGAGACACCCTGGGATACGGGACCAACGCGGGACATGAGCACTGAGGAGGGGGAAGGGAGCCAGGAGGGAAAGAAAGGATGTAGCAGCTCCTTTTTAACCCAAAGCAGTTATGAAGGAATGCATCTCTTAGCTTGACAGAAAGGAAACGAGTAAATGGAAGCATATAAAATACTGTGTTATTATAGCAAACAAGTAGAGTTCAGAGGTAGTGAGAAGGAAGATATGTAGAATTGTACTGTATCTTCATGTAATATGCCACAAATAAACATTATTCAAGTATCTAAGGAGCGCTATAAATTCCATCGTACTTTTTCATATTTTAGTTGTTCTTATTATTTTGTTTTCTGTCTTTAAATGTAAACCACTTTTTCAAGTTTCACTTCATCTGCCAGTCATAGGGATCTCTTTTTATAAATTATTATATCATATTATTATATATAACATAATATACATTTGATTTGATTTGCATTAATTTATTATCAATGTTGTTATTCTATTATATAAAATACTAGGCTGGCAACAACAGAAATACTTTTCATTATTAATCTGCAGATTATTATTATTATTAATACAATAATTAGTTCCTCACTAAATTAAATAACACCAATAATTACATTGAATATATAATTGAAATCACTTAATTTCCATATATTCATTTATTTTCTTCTTTTAGATATTATCCCAGCTGTTGATTTATTTACTGACACAAACATAATGTGGATCAGATGCATATGAATTATTACTGTTATTGAAATAATAAGATAAAACATTAATATAACGGTTGTAGACATTTTTACTGTAACACAACCACGGTGTGCTAACGACAGCGCGGAACACTCGCAACACGCCTGTGGCAACAGCCCGGACGCAGTTTAGTGTTGCACCACATTTGTTTTGTTTACGGATGCCGGGAAGCTAACTTGAGTTAGCCACTAACTTATAGCCACGGGGTGTTTTTAAAAACAAGCAGCTGATCGATTGAGATTAAAACAGAATGAAACCTGCGGTGGACGAGATGTTTCCCGAGGGAGCGGGTCCCTACGTGGACCTGGACGAGGTTTGTGGATTAGGGAGCTAGTTAGCATTAGCCGGTCGCTAATGTCATAATCCACTCAGGAGCAGGAGGTTTTGTTTAAGTCGAATCCTTTAATATATTTCAGATGTTCAGTGTTTCTGCGGCTGCTGCAGAAACTTAAAGACACTTTACATCGTTGTCACGTTTGTTTTTCATTTGCATTAGTTGATTTGACTGTAAAACACAAAGTACCTTCATCACTGTCAAAGCTGAAATTAAAATAATAAAGATAACATGGTCACGTCTATTATTTAGTCTCCTCAGTTCATTGTGTTTAATGCTGAAGCTGAAACCCGGTTTTATTAACTCATCAGTGGAAAAGATTAGAGTGAAGTTTACTTCATGTAAATCACAGAAGAGAAATAAATCCTTAAAGGAGCTGGAGTCTGCAAACGTGTGACAGTTTTAAAGGATTGTTAGATCATCACGTTACCTGATGGTTCATTGTTGCAGCTCTGGATTGTTCACTCAGGGTTATTTATGTGTGTGTGTGTGTGTGTGTGTGTGTGTGTGTGTCATATAACCTGTTGTACTGCTGCATGTTCACAGGCAGGAGGCAGCAGCGGTCTGCTAATGGACCTGGCAGCCAATGAAAAAGCAGTTCACTCGGATTTCTTTAATGGTAACACACACACAAACACACACTGCAAAGTTTGTGACTTAGACACTTTGGAGTGTTTGTGTTAACACGTGTTTATGTCTGAACATTTCTTTATTTTTGCAGCAGCATGAACTCATCTAAATTAAAAATTCGCTTCACTTTAATTAAAAGTTGTCCAACAAACACATTTATTCGGTCATATAAAGCTTAAACCTGAAGTCAAACTTTGAAGCTAATCAATTCAAACACATTTAAATTAAACCTCAGACTATTAAAAATAATCTCTTAAAGCAGCAGCAGCAGCATCATGCCACTAATTAGACTTAGGTTCTTATGGAACAGATATTCAGAGTGTTTCAATATCGTTTCAGTAATGTGAAAAGGTAAAAGGGTGAAACCAGATTACTGAAGAGCTGCATGGAAACTGGAGCTTTGGTGTAAGCACGTTATGCAGTTTCCTGCTTTAACCGCATCGTCTCCTCAAATTAACCCTCAGAAATCCAGTCTTTCGCCCAGTAAACACCAGTGAATGTGCGAGAAGACAAAAAAAACCCACAAAGCCAATCTGTTTTCTGTCTTGCAGCGTTGGCTGCAGGCAAAACAATTCTGGCTCAGCAGCACATGACCTAGAAAAAAAAAAAAAAAAGAGCTGATTGTTAAAAAGAGGGGAATGAAAGAAGAGAAAAAACAGGGAGGAAGGAAAAGAGTTGAGAAGAAGACGGTAAAGTGAGTTTATAGCTGCTGTAAGACTGAAACTCAGCAGGACACCTCGCCAGTCAGCTGCTTTTAAAACACACACACAGTCTCCTTCAATCAAGTGGGTTGTTAACATTGCTAAAACCGACATTCAGAGGGTTTTCTCGTGCGACATGTTTCAGCCCGTGACACTAACTATTGAAAATGTTTCATTCACGAATAAATGCAGCTGATAAATAAATGTCCTGGTTTGCATCAAGTTAAGAAATTCAATAATATTTCACAGAATACAAAACCAGAATCTAATCAAGTTATCAAATCAGAATCCTTTGTTGAATCCCACGACGAGACGTAAACTCTGATCTTTGTTATGTTCCGATCTCAGAATGTCACGTTCTACGTCACTCGCACTAAATCGATACGAGGACGACGCTGCTTGTTTCGGTGATTCTCAACCTTTTGAGTTGTGACCAGTGTGATCAGGATGAAAGTTTCTCTCTGGCACCTGAAGCAAACTTTACAAACGAAGTTTTGGGTTTTGTTCAAGCAGCTGTAAGGAAATGTGACGCTGACAGGAAACAACCTCGGCTACTTACTGTTTTCACTTTTATTTGTGTGACCATCATTTGTTCGACCAGTGACGAGTAGAATTGTCTCAGTTTCAGTCCTCAATGCTGAAGTTGGTTTTTGAAGAAGAAATGTGGACGTCTTGTTCTCATGTGTTTGGCCACGTGTTAAAGTATAAATAAACAAAAGTCAAAGCCAGATAAGTTTTCACCACAGGATCAATGTCTTGAGAAGTTTTATTTGATCCAAACTCAGCAGCTTAAGTGAAAAAAGTGGTAATATACAGCTGAGGAGTGGGAGTTCTGGTGAAACAGCTGGATTCATTGTAACCCTGCTCTCTTTCTCTCCTCTTTCTCTCCATCTTCTCCTCCTCTGGTCTCCATCTGCAGATTTTGAAGATCTTTTCGACGACGATGACCTGCAGTGACGACAACACCAGAACACCTGCGTGATCGTGTATATATCAAAAAAAGATTTGTGTAGAATTCTAAATAGGAGCTTTCTCTTATATGTACAGCCCCCCCCCCCTCCTATATGTGAGTCACCAGCTTTCTGAAATAAAGTCTTTTTGTTTTTACAAAAAAAAAAAAAGACGACAAGCTGTCATGGTGAACCAGGTGTCTACGCTGAATTCTAAGAATCCCACACATTCCGGCCGCCGAGAAAATTATGAGTATGGTTTTGGCGTCGTCGTGTTCGAATCTGCTCGGGACCTGGATTGTAGGTTTGCTGGCTCTGAGAAACACCTGTTTGCAAACGTAATTACATACGAGATAAAGTGTTAACATGACCAGTAAATGTTCAGCCGGGGCACGACGGGACCAAACAGGACAGGGCTGCGAAAAATGTGGAAATGCTTAGAAAAAAAGGGAGAAGAAAATAAAGAAGAACTATTGAAGTCAAATATCATTGATAGTGGAAATGGAAATGCTCAGATTTTACTTAATGTCTTTGCACTGTCCGTCAGATGAATCGTGCAGTTTTAGATTTTGAAGCAGTCGGCAAGTGTCGGTGTAAAAGAGAAAAGATCAAGAAAATGATAAAGCACAACGTGGAAATGACACCAACACTCTGCTTCATACAGAGCATCAGTGAAGTGAACGACTCCAAAGCTGTAAAAGCTGTTTGTCCCAGAGGTGTCGGACGAGGTTGAGGTCAGACACTCACCAAACTGTGAAAACCATTTCTCTAGTCGAGTTAAAAAAAAAGAAAAATCCCAGACGTCTGTTGTTTTTATTTTCGACTGGCGAATATTTATATTCTATTTATTTTATATTAATGACAAATAAAAAGGAAGTATGTTTTGTCATGAATGTTAAATTATAGAAAGAGAGACTTAACATTTAAAATCACGTTTTCAGGAGCTTTAAGATTAAAACTGATCACAGACAAAATGCTGAACAGTCCCAAAGGTGCACAACAATAAAATGAGATAAAATACAATTTAAAAACAACAACGTTCTTAGAAAACTAAATCACTTGAAGGTGTTTCTCCACAGACTAATAAACCCTCATCATCAACCTCATAACACAACAGAGTCATAACTGAATTACAGGCGAATCCAGTCAGATGCACTGATGTTGCATCAGTCACAGCTTGTGGCTTTTTCAGAATTGCAGAAAGTCCCTGCGTACATGTGTGTGTTGCAGAGCTGGCATGTCCGAACACAGTGAGAAGTGAGGAGGAAACTGTAGATTATCAAATTCCTCATGTGTAGACCAGCTGTCCCTGTGTGTGTGTGTGTGTGTGTGTGTGTGTGTGTGTGTGTGTGTGTGTGTGTGTGTGTGTTCAGGTTTAGACAGAAGCTGTGGTTTGGCTCTCTCTCTCTCTCTCTCACGTCTCTGAAAAGTGCTTATGTGGCACCTCAGCGCCCCTTCATTAGTTCCTCATGTTTTCTTTCTCCCGTCTCTTCTCTCTATCTGTGTTTTTCTTGCTCTACAGTCACTGATGCTTCCTCAAATCACGTCCGGGCTCCGATTTCTAACTTTAAACGAGACACAGATTTAAATCCAGGCTTGTCAAATACAAAAAAAATCAATTAAACTTCACTTAAGGCAACTTCTTCTTCCGTTTCTCCACGTCTCCATCTCCACTTTAAGCCCTCCCTCCTTCTCTCTTTTCCTGTCCTTAATTACGGTGCCTGCCATTGGTCCAGAATCACAGAAAGTTGCAGCCAATCAGGCACCTTGTTGAGGTGGCCTTTGACCCCCTCAGGTGGTCCCTGTGTGCGTTTTCCTGCGCGAGTGTTAATGAAGGCACGTGTTTGTGTACGTCAGGGGATGACGGGCTCGGTTTAAAACCATCCGGGATCTGTTTGTCGGGGCAGTCTGTCAGAAGGGCCACAGGGACAGGGTGCACCGGGAACATCTACAACACACACACTTAGTGTTTGAGCCCAGGTCGACCTGTTGGCTTCTTTGGAGTCCACATCTGGATCTGCAGACAACCACGCTGAGAAGATAACCACAGGTGAGAACACTAAACCAACAGTAAACCTCCTCTGTGTTTATTTACCGGATTCAAGTTCAGGTTGAAGTTTGGCTGCCGGACAACACCTGGTTCAGTTTTTACAACGACAAAGCAGCCGGGGGCCGCGTGGCAACGTGTTTGTTTAGAGTCACAGTTACAGAGTTCACCTCCGAGCTGCATGGGTCACTTCATCAGCTCTCCAGGTGAAAACAAGCTCAGGTCTGAGGAACTGCAACACCTCCCAACAGTGATTCATAAGATTCGTAGCTTTCTCTGTATTCTTGCAGGACTTTTCTAGATCGATTATCCACAATCGTCGTTCGTAATCTAGATTTTTTAGAATCAAAAGCAACTGATTGGAATGTATCTGGAGGTAAAATCCTCTTGTGACTGTGGTGTTTGCAGGAGAGGAGGAGGAGTCATGGCTGGACAGAGGAGAACCAGTTTCTCTGGTGTGTTCATCACCGCTGCGCTGGCTGTGATGCTGCTGCCCGGTGAGTTCACGACACAGATCGTTAAACATACCAACACGTAACCAAGGTCAGACTGTCATATCTGTCACTACAGATGGAAACTAAGAGTTCAGATCACCAGCACTGTAAATAAAGACAAAAGAGAGAGATACAAATAATTGAGTATTTTACGTTCTGTTTCATTAGTAAACAATCAATAGAAAAAAACCATTTTATCTATAAAATGACAGCAAGAGAATAAAAACCCAAAATATTTTGTTTATGATCATGAAAATGCAAATCTGGAACCAACAGATGACTCATTATTTATAGAATTATATACTGTCAAAACTGCTGCAGATTACTTGCTTGTAATTACAAATTTGAAAACTAATTAACTTCAAGTATGAAATGGGAATATTCAAGTGCAGTACAAGTATCATGAAGTGGTGATACGACTGATTATGAGCGATGGAGCAATGATTTATGAAAAAAGAAAGAAATTGAATTGTTGCAACTTATCTCACTTTAAATAAAAGGAGAAGCTTCACGTCAGGTTCTAGAAGGAAAGGAGTGAAAATAGGAATAAATGTGATTAAAATCACAGAAGAAGGTTTTTTCCCCCTCAGCCACTGAATGATGAGCTGACGTTACATCTCTGAATAAACTGCTTCATTTATCTGGAAACACACAACGACAGAGATCTTTGGAAAAAGGGAGAGTGATCGTGAAACTGCAAAACACAGAACACGGTGATTGCACACCATTAAAAATGACAAGTGGTGAAGGACAAGTGCTGATGACCACGTCTGTGGATGTTATCATCAGGTCTCCATCTCTCAAAGCTGCACTGTGGAGATGCTGGAGGAAAAGAAGCTGAAGTAGCTCCCCTGGTGGTTGTTGTGATGAAAGAGCACGTGCAGTGTCTCCTCCAACTGATTCTGCTCAGGAATACTGAGTCAAAGTCCGTGTTCGCCTCCCTGGTTCCTCCCTGCTCCTTCTCCTCACCAGCTCCATGTACATCTCAAGGTCTTGTTTGTCGGAGCGAAGGGTTAACTGGATTGAGTTCTGCCCTTCACCAGTTCACGGTCATGGACTCACTCTACGTTAAACGTGGTTGTAACTCAACCGAGCTTCACATATATCAGCAACATACCCTGTGATGTTCACACGTCATGTATGTGACAGGTTACTCCTCCAACACCTGTTTCCATTTTCCTCTCATGACATGACTCAACGTATTCACTGAAGTCTCATCTCCCCTTTTAAAATCTTTATTTTTTAAATTGCACCGTTCCGTGATTTTACTGGGGAAAAGATTAGCGATAGTCGGGAGGGGGGGGGTGGGGATTTTTTCCTCCTTTCATCATTCCTGCTCCTGTAAAAAATTATTACCTGTCAGCATCACCTCCTCCTCTGCTCTTAAAGCGCTGCTGTTTCCAGATGTGCCAGCTTCTCTTTTACAGGCTCGTAAAAAAAAAAAAAACAGTACAGCGGATACACTGAGGCAGCATCATTTAGCAGGCCCACCCTCCTCCTGCCCACCCTCCTCCTGCCCCCCCCCCCCCCCCGGGTCACCTTCACATGGATTCTGTGCAGATTCCTACTTCTGCTTGTGTGACCTCATGCGCTTCTGTGCACATCACATCTCCCTGACTCCTTCATCCGAGATCATCAAAACTATTCTGGATGTTTTTTTCCACGTAACCCCGAATTATCCCTCCACGGATCTCCGGTCATCTGTTCCCTGCTTTCTTTCTTCCTCCCTCTCTTCGTCTTCCTCTCCCTCTGTAAGGCATTAACACCTTCTCCCTGTGGAGATGAAAAGAAACCCAGAGCAGTGCTCGCTCTGCTGTTCCCCACAGCAGCATGGGGTCAAACTGCAGCAAACACATACGTGCACATGTGCACGCTGCAGACACACACAAAGTGCACACGCACAGCTCTTTGAGACCCCAGCAGGGGGTTTGATGTTACTGGCTCACCTATAAAATCTACAAAGAGCTGCTGTCGCCAGCGCCGCAGGCAGAGCCAATTACCTCTGCCCTATTTAATGAATAATATCTGTCTGTGAGGGCTCCAGGTTTAATGTCATATTATCACTTATGTATTCAAGACACGTTTCAAAAGTCACAGTATGATGAGTAAGCATCTCAATCTCAACTTCTTGATTTTTTTCCTTTCCTCTGTTCCTGTCAGCGTTCCTGTCTGCCGGACCAATCGGGCAAAAGGCCAAAGGAGATGGTAAATATGTGTTTTGTTACTTTAGCACAAACATACACATGGATCCAGCTTCCCCTGTGACCCTCAGAGGATAAGCAGAGTAGAGGAAGGAGGGATAAACGTACACAGTGGTGCTTGTTTCTCTGAGGTGCACTGTGTCGACCTGTCAAAGGTGAAAGATGTGAAAGTTGTTGAAAAATGCACCAAACACTCGGATCCATCACTTTGCTTCACTGTAGAGTTGCATCAACTCTTCACCTTATGATTGATATGTAACATTACATAAAAGAATTAATGATATGTAACGTCCCAATATAATATCTTGTTATAAACTTTAGAAGTCACTGGAACAAGTCCTTGAATTTGATGACCCAGTGAGTTTTGAAGCTCTGGGATCAGCAGTGCCTTCATTTTTCTTTTAATTCTGTCCTGCCCTCAGCGGGGGACAGTGTCCAGGAGAAAGCGAACGCTGCAGCCTCACAGAGGAGGCTGAGCCGCAACCGCAGGAACATCAGCTGGTACAAACAGCACTCGGACTTCTGGAACTGGTACAAGTTCTTCACAGACAACGGCAACCAGGAGGCAGTGAGTAAACCCACTCATACACAAAATATCAGAGATTACAATAGATTTCTAATACGTTGTCATCAATTCTAATATTGCGCTTTTATCTTTAAACTGGTTGTTTTGGTTTTTATATTGTCAATAGCAATATAATCAAATCCAGTCGGTGGTAACCAAAAAAATCCCCATGATGCCAGAGACATTTAACAGATTTTAAGCCTATAAAAATAAATTGGTGCTAAAATGAATCAGGGTGGAGTATCACTTCACAGCTTGTGCTCTGTTATTGCCCACAATGTGTCAGCTCTGCAGTAAAAACCTCCGCCTCCTGCTCTCAGGTTCACGAGATGGACCGCATCTACCTGGCCTACCTCCAGAACAAGAACCGCGCAGAGGGCCGTCGCTCCTACAAGGCCTACCTGCGCCACCTGGGGGATATCTACAAGTCCTGCGCAGATTCCGACGACCCCAACTGCGTGTCCGCCTACACCAGCAGGCCCCAACCAAAACCCGAGCCCCCCAAGCCTGCACCGGTAAAAACCTGTGACCCCACCAAGGACACTTACTGCCTGTATGCTGCTCTGATGCAGGGCAAGAGTCCCTACCAGCCCCTGGTGCTCCCAGCGGCCACCCCTGCCGCAGCACCTGCCAAGGCCCCAGCGCCTCTGTACGTTCGCTCTGCTCCAGCAAAGGACCCACAGTCTGGGTATCACTACTACGCTCCATCCACAACACCTTTCCTCTCCAAGGTAAGATATTAGATGGTAATTTTGCAATACTGCAGTTTAGTGAATTACATATTGTTTTCATGTAGATCTAAAGAAGATCTGCTGCACAGATATTCACCTAGATTGTCTTAGTCATTCTACAAAATTAGAATAATTTGAAAGATGAAAAAAAGCTTCTGCCTCCAGCCTTTAACGAAATCATGGGACCACATTTTTCATGATTTAGGAGCAGAAGGCTGAGCTGCTGCGGATCTGCACCGCTGATGACGTGGAGTGTCTCCAGTATCACCTGAGAGCAGCCTATGGGCACACACCCTCCGCCGGGCCCCTGCCCTCTTACGCTCACCTCGGCTGTGATCCCAAGAAAGACCCCTCCTGCAAACCCAAACTGGTGCAGAAAGCCCCCTCTGGTCTCTACCTGCAGTACCCCAACTGTGACCCTGTCAGGGATCCTGCCTGTGCCTACGCAGCCTCCCTCGTGGTCTGTTTATTCAGATCCCACAGATTCTCATCTTTGCTGTGTTTCGATATTCATCTACATTGTGACTATCGTGATATAACTGGGTTTCTCTCTCTCTCTGTCCTCCAGGCGCCCCGTGCTCCTAAACAACCTGCTTCTGCTGGTCCTGGATCTTGCAACCCTCTTTACGAAGACGGCTGCAACCCCCTGAGCGCCACCAGATTCGCCACTCCCCCAGAGTCGTACAAAAACGATGAGGCAGATGAGGCCGCCGCCATCCGTGTCGCTCCTCCAGCTGCTGAGCAGAACAACGACCCCTATGCCATGTTCAGGGATGCTTATGCTCATGCTAACAGAGGTTCTGATCCTTATGCTATGTTCCAGCAGCGTCCAGCTTCTCCTCCAGCTTCACCTGCAGCTAATGACCCATATGCTCTTCTGCGACGCTACATGGCCCAAGCTCAACAAAGTGACCCATACTCTCCACGCATGGAGGCAGCTCCAGAGTCCAACCCCAACGATCCTTTCTCTGCGATCCGTGAGGCGGCAGGTGCCATGCATCGCCGCGGTCCGTCCAACCCCAGGCAGCAGTTCCCTTTCTCTAACCCCAGTTATGAAGAGCCTGCCCAAGAGGAGCGCCACCCTCTGGGCCCCCCAGGTAAGACCAAGGAGGGATATGACTGCTTCATCGGCTACGACCGTGAATGCTACCCCGTGAAGCCCACTGAGCCTCGCTCTGGCGTCCACCGCCACATGCCCTATCCTGCCGAGCCCTACGAGCCTCACCTGAATGCCGACGGCACACGAAGCGGCGTCATGGAGCCGTCCAACCCTGATTGTGACCCCGAGTACGACAGGGACTGCCGCCTGCGTCGCTACGAGCCCGAGCAGCCCCATGTCGAAGCCCAGCCCGAGCATCACGCCGGGGAGGACCACAGCCAGGGGGCAGCAGAGAGAGAGCATCAGCCAGAGCAGCTGGAGCAGGAGCAGTACGAGGGGGAGCCCTACGAGAGTGGCCAGGAGGAGCCTCACATGTCCTACCCTCACATGTCCTACCCTCAGATGTCAAAGGGGATCCCGAGCCTGCAGGACATCCTGAGGCTCTACGGAGGCCAGAACCCCGAGCAGGATGATCACAGAGCTTACGCAGGCGACTACCGCAAGAAATAAACATGCAAACACACCCATGCATGCAGATGGACATAAATACACAGTCCCGTGCGTTCTTGTAGCTTAGCCCATGACCGCCTCACGCAGTGCACAGCCAGTCCAGACTGGACCAGATATGGGACACATGAGAAGTCTATGGACCCAGTGAGCAAGCTCATGCACGTGCATCCACACATAGCTTCGGAAAGCTGAGGGTGTTCCAGCAAAGTTTTCATCTCTGTAGCTGCATCTGTTGCTTCGCTTTTTCCAGCCTCCACCTCAAACCTCCTCAGTTCACTCGAATGTGTGATAACGCTCAGCTTCGCTTCTCTATCTATGCATCTCACGTTTTTTCTAATTTGTTTGTTGCTTTTTTTTTGTCAGTGACGGATTATGTAAAGTTTTTTTTTTTCCATTTTGAATGTTCTAATAAAAAAATAAAAAAGCTGTTTTTTGCATTTGATTTATTGAATCTTGGCAATAGACTCAATAACTGTGACACACTCGCACATTTCATCTCATTTATGGTGTTTGATCACTTTCTTGAATGAAATGAATGAAACGTCCAAAGTTCATATTTTTATTAGATCTCACTTTTCCAGACTCCTGACCCAGTTTGTATTGATGTTTCTCTGCTTTCAATTTAAATTCCCAAAGCTCAAATCTAATTTCATTGGAGCTGAAAATATATTTTTCTACTTGAGAAGAATCAATGCCTATGTGCTCATCATTAACATATTAGTCAGGTTTAACGTCATAGGGGCTATTTGTACGTTTTCTCAACCGTTTAATGTGGTTTCGTGTGTGGTGATGGTTCTTCTGCATCAATTGTTGCACTAACAAGACTGGAATGTCACCCAGTACAGAGAAAAGGTAAAAGTAACTGAATGATTGTTCAAACTTACAGAAAAGACAAACTGATCATTCAGTGAATTGTGCAATTTGAGAAATATTTCTTTAAAAAAAGCTCTTGTCAGTCAGGATCACAGAGCTGCTCTTTCATTAGAGAACTTTCTTTACTGTAAATTCTATAAAAAAAGGATTTTCAGTTTGGTCATGAATCTATTCCACAGAGTCTTTAAACTCTGAGGGAAGGAAGCAGAGAAACCAGCCGTCAGGAGCCGAGACTTCTGTCCCATTATCTGACGGAGGGAGAGCGTTTAGAGAAATGTCAGCACAACCTTGACGACTGGCTGAGATACAGACTTTCAAAAAAGTCAAATCTGACAGCAAACGACCTTTTAAATGAGCAAAGATTAGAAAAAAGTTCTTCAAGACGACTTGTCCTTACGTGAGGAGACATCGTGGTGCTTGAAGACAGCTGATGACAAACCAGCTGGAGTGTTTAAATAGTTATAACTTATTTATTTCACAGCACCATGAATTAAAACATTTAAATCACAAACATGATCAATGAATACAATCCATTTATTCCATTTTATTTTAAAAACACTTTATTTAAACACTTTTCTAGTCTCATCCACCACTAAAAGCACTTTACAACTGAAACGTCAATTGGGCATCAAACCACCAACTTCTGTCCATGAACCAAGTTCATGGACAATCCTCTCTACCTCCTGGGCCACAGTTGATCCGGTACTGGTATAGAGGAGTTTGTCGTTACAGCATCAAGAGACAGGATATCTCCGTGGACATGATTTACACTCCGTTACATCCAGATGTGCTGGATGTTAAAAAAATGTTCAAACTCATTTCAGGAGACGTCTGAAGAATAATGACGGTGGAAGCTCCGGTAATAACAGTGTTTATGTCACTTTGGAGGAGCGATGATTTATGGTGATTGACTGAGCACATGTCAGGAAAACTTCTGCCTTCTTACTGGAGGCAAATGTGACGCCATGAAAAATAAACTGGGCAATAAATTCAATCACAGTGAGAAGAGGATAAACGAGCAATGAGTAACTTCCTCCACCACCGATTATGAGATAATGAAAAAGCTTTTAATTTCAACCTTCCAAAAACAAAAGATATTAGCTAAAGTGGTTTTTCTGCAAAACAGCAAAAACAGATTCAAACCAATTTTTAATTACCAATAAAAAAATCAATGTACAATATTTAAAATGATAAGTGAAAGAAGTATAGTACAGAAAATCACTGCTAACCTATAATGAATGTTTCAGCAACTAGACCAGAATGAAATGTGATATAAACCTAAATGGGGGAGAAATAAAACTTGGTGCTGTAATGACAGAGAGAGAAGGAATGATCACCTGCAGGTCAGAAATAAACACAAACGAGAGAGAGAGTGTGTGTGACAGAGAGATAAGAGATACTCACTCCTAATTATATTTGCCTCCAGCTGCTGATAGTCCTACCCCCCCCCCCACACACACACACAGACTCCCTCTTGTGGTCGCTGCTGAGCAGGAGAGGTCGAGGTTTGATGCTGTCAACAGAGCTGATTATTTCACTGGGACTAACAATAGATCAAACTGTCACATGAATTCTACTGTAAATATTTACACCTCTGACCTGTCATCGACCGCAGCAACATTAATTATCAACTAACCAATCACAACTTCACTTTTATTAATATCTCGTTAACTGGATTTGAGGGACAATCGATAAGAAACAATTAAATATCTTAACATTTTGCTTTGAACCACATCTGTTTATGTGAGGTCAGGTCACAGAAAAATAATTGGCATCGATAGTAATTTAAAAAAAAATGTATTTTCTGAAACTAATGAGATAAATATTGCCTGCAGCTTTAGTTTTCTCTTTTAATGGATTTAGAAATGGTTCCTCTGTTTCCTGTGTGTAAATGACTTGGATTGGAGCAGTTTCAATGAAGAGCTCAGTGCAAACGTTACCATTTAAGATGTTAATATTAGATTGAGGCACAGGTGACGGCCACAACAACGGAGCTGCAGGAAATCAAAATGCGTGGCAGTCATTTACAGGAACAGGCACAAAGCTGTGGAATCAAACTGCCGTTGTGAGTTTCTCTAACATCCCACAGGCAGCGGAGAAACGTGAAATCCAGGAGGCTGACGAACAGAGCGTCCGACCCTCTGCTCTCATTTCCAAAGGCTGATCCTCAGGAAGTGAAGGAGTCCAGAGAAAACAAGTGAAGGAAACAGGGGAAGGGTGGAGGAGACACTGGTGGTGAAAAAAATAAATAAAAACAACAAGAAAGGTGGAAGGAGAGAAATGAGAAATGAAACCATGACAAACTCAATGTCTCTGCTGAGGTTTTCCATTTGGCATTGATGTTATTATATTCATCAACCCGTTTCTCCTCCTCTATATACGTCATGGATCTGTCACACAAAGACATACTGTACTGTATAATCTGGGCTACTTTGCAGTGACTCACTTTTTATATGTAACTACTTTTATTTCCTTTCATGTAAAATATTTTTCTCCTTACGACACTTATTTTACACAATGCTGTTTTTCTTATCGCCCTCATTTCTTAATGGTTTTATTTTTGTGAATGATTTCTTGTGATCGCCCTTGAGTCTCCTGTGCCACTTTGTCAAATCCCTTTAAAGGTTCTACATAATTGAAAGGAAGCTCGATAAATAAATAAATAAATAAATGCAGCTGTGCCCTGAAGTGAAAGTGTTTCTGTGGACGTCTTTGAAAAATAAAAAGGTCCCAAACAACCTTTGAAAAAGCTTCTTATTAAAAAGCCTCATTAGTCATGAAAAGTTTTCAGGTGTAAAATTAAAGTAAATTATTTCAGATACATCTGTTGTAAGTCAGTGGAGAGAAATGAATGAGATTCAACCGTTCTTTGTTTGAACCAGTGATTTCTGTTTGTGTTTTCTGATGCCAGCACTCGGATATTTTAGTTCCATTTCTGGATCGTGGAAGGAAGTGGAATCGTGTCACTCGTCTCTTCATACAGTCTGTGGCATTTATAATCATTTCTTACTTTTGGAAATACGCTGCCAAACTTAATTACTGAAAAAAAAAAAGAATGTCTTAAAGTTGTTAGATCAAACTTTTAGGAAACATCTTTTTTAAAAATCTGCATTTTCTCATTTTGGACACAAAGCACTTAAAGGTGGAGCTTTCTGAAATGTTCTTACAAAGTATTGGCTGATAATTATTACACCTTGTACAACAAAGAATGAATATATGTGAGCGCGTTTACGTCACAGTTCATATATTGATCTGCTCTATTTGAGGTCAGAGGAAAACAGAGTCAGAGATTTCCAGAGGCACGTTTGCGAAACTCGAGGACGAGATCACGATATTATCACGAGGGGATTTTTAAAATCTATTTAATTCTCTTTTTATTCCATTTCTTCTCTCCTCCGACTTTGTTGCAGCTCAACTTTTCTTCGGTCAAAGTCGTCTCAGACTTTCAGAATCAATGAGGATGCATTTTCTTTTTCTTTAACACTCAACCTTTGACGCATTTTTTTTTTTTTTTAAATTTACTCTGAGTTGACGTTGACCCTGAGAAATCGAATGTAATTCTTTAGTATGACCAAACTTTCATGTTCTACAAATATAGAAGAGGATTTTTTTTTCTTTTTGCAAATGTGAGCTTTTCTCTTTCTAGTTCAGTCACAATGAAAAGGTTCTTCTTTTTCCCCAAGGAAACAGAAACAGTTCTAACAAGGACGACAGAGAGAAAACTGGGGGGGGGGGGGAAGAGAGACAGACACAAAGGGAGAGGTGGGATGGGGTTGTCTTATCGTTGTTCAGCAGGGTCGCTCACAGACAAAGAGCCTTGAACTAATTTCATACCAAATTTACATGAAAATTAAGATGAACTACTCAGAGATATTAGCCATGTTGGAGACAATTATACAATCCACATGCAGACATCATTACGTAAATTAAATTTGGTGCCTGTGCCCCGTGTGAGGCGTACAGGCATGATTCATACGCTTGTTGGGAGCTTGAAAACACACACACACACACACTTTTGTTTTATTCTCCTGTCGCTGTATAACTTGGTGATTAGTTGGATCCTGTGCCGTGTCGCCTGGCGACAACCGGCGACAGGTTGTCGTGGCAACCTTGGTGTGATAGATGCCCCCCCGCCTCTTGCTGTCGTCTTGGCGATGCTCGGGTGTTTATCTTGCTATCCTTCGACATGAGCGCTCATTCATCACGCTGCCACTCAAAGGGGGCCCATCCCTCCCCAACAGTGCATCTGCTTCAATATTAATCACTCTTTAAACACACTTCAGGTGTGTGTTCATGTACAAAAGAACACGTGTTTGTTTTTTTGCCACCCTCTTGAGGCCAGTGTGGTGATAATAACTCTTCTATAAACTTCCATCTAACAGAGTCGGGGTGAAATTGGCTTCCTTTGTGTGCGTCTCCTCCACATTTAATTACAGCCGAGTAATGGAACGCGATGAGAATTACATCTGAAGGGCCGTGAAAAGTGGAGCAGCCGTTTGCTCCATGTGACGAAGTCCGTTCTAATAAAATCTGACTGAATATGTTCTGAAAGCAGAGCATGTCACTGAAATATGTCGCCGTGTCTTTTTTCTGTGTACGTTTGCCAAACTTTCCATGTTTGGTCATGAAGCTTAGCCATCTGGACCCACTGTGCCTGAGGTTTGTGTGTGTATGTGTGTGTGTGTGTGTGTGAAACACATGGAGCAGAGAAGTGAAGAGTAGCTGTTTAAAACAGCAACAGATGGTTCATCCTCCTCTCTGCTGCTGGTCCTTTATATTTAACCCTCGATGGAGAAGTGGAGAGAGAAGCAGAAAACACCGTCAGTTCAATAAAACCATGTTAGCGAGGTCGAATAAGAGAATCCATTCTCGTGTCAAAAGAACCGAGGCCTTCGGATTTCAGTTTGATGCACTGATAATAAGATGTTATCTGACTATCGTCGACAAAAATATTAATATCTAACAGTTCGTTTCCCTGGAAAGGTTTTAGAGGATTGGAAAGGAAAGGTAAAGTCCGAGTGAAAGGCACAAAGTGAGACGGGGAGTTGTGTGCGTTTTCAAATCATGCAGAAATAAAACAAATGAAATATTGCAAAAACATTTGTGCATTTTTTGACTTATAAGATGTGACAAAAATGGAAGCAGACTTAACGAAATGTAAACAATAACTACAAACATGTAAATCTGGTTATCGAGCACAACAGCAAGAGGCTCCGTACGACGGAGATTGAGAGTCACGCTGTAATTTGAATGAAAGAAAAGCAGCTGTTCCTTTCACATAAAACTAATAAAAGAGTTTCAGTTTGTTTTGTTGGAAACACTTAAATCTGAGGAGTGTGTTGAATGGAGGTGAGGGGGCGCGACAAATCCTGCTCATGTATTCTGGGTGAGGTGCACATTGTGTTGGTCTTGTGCTTCAGGTCGTTCATTTTGAAATTCAAATCTAAACACTCCTCTGAAGTGCTGCGGAGACTTTTCCTCTCAGTCCCTGATGCAGAAAAACAACATGATGCCACATACTGCGACAATTATTCCGGAAACATGGACAAATTACAAGTGTCGCCAACCCTGGCTTTCAGAAACAGTTCCACCTCATTGTCAGTCCAAGCAAATAAAACCCTCATCTTATTATTTATCATGGCCGTTCCTTGTTTGTAGTATTTTCTACAAACTATTCTTTTGATTTTAAAACACTTTTTAAAGATTAAAATGTGCGTTTCCCTCTGAATTATTGTCGTTTATGTGCTTTGTGGATAATTAAGAGCCGTCACTCCTGTCCGCAGTCGGAGGGGAGGTCTATGTGGACGGCTGTGATCAGAGATCGCCCTGCCTGCAGCTCTTCAGAGACGATAAGATTTGCATCGCAGCATGAGAACGACCTGAAGCACAAGATCAAAATGAGCTGAACATCCACCTGAATATATGAGCACGATTTGTCATGCTCGCTCGCCTCCATCCAACACGCTCCTCAGATTTGAGTACGTGAGTTTCAATCGAAGTCAGGAAGTCGGATTTGGCCATCGCCATGTGACCACTGTGTGAAGCCAAAGCATCTTGATCGCCCCCTGGTGGCTGGCTGCAGTAAAGGGTCACATACCCAGAGGGCTTCTGTCAGTTTAAGAAGATCTTATCAAGCAGATGGTTCATTTTTCTGGTGCATTTGGTTTT